GTATTTGGTTGGTGGGGGGGGGGGTCCTCAGAGGTTGAAAGCAATAATAACTGCCTAATTTCAAATGTTAATTAACATTAAGTATTCCCGTCATCCAAAAGCCTGAATTCTTAACATTCACCTCATCCTCAACCAATGATGGGGCTCAGTTGAATATAGTAAATTGTCATAGTTTTTACGTAATAAAGTACCATTTTCTGACATCTAAAAGTCTCGGGTTCTTACAATTGTCTCACCTCAGCCTCAACCATGGTGGGCCGAGGTAAGACGACACAAGAAACACACAAGACCTTAAAATTAAAATGACCCTCAAGTTTACACGCGAATTTGGATCGTCACCAACACTTCTTTGTAACTTGGTTAAACTTTCACGAAAGTTGTATTCACATCATTTGATTAGTTTTTGAAATATATATTAATAATAATAATATTGTAATCCACCATCTGCAAAGAATATAGAAAAATGTATAAAAAGCATGCAAGGCCTGCGCATGACTTACTTGTAAGTAATCCGGTAGCAAACAGCTTTTTAAAATCGCACACGTTTTTAATATTAAAATTCGCAATTTATACGATTTTTTGTAAAATATCACAAAATATATGATAAAATAAGTATGAACGTCTTCGTGACATTTGATCCTTACCTAATCGTATGGAATTCAATTATTCATGATGAGACAGCAGTACATTTAAAACAACTGAGGGCGCTATAGCAAATTATATGGAAGGTCATTTTATATTAGATGTAGACAAGTTACATTTCTTCTGTTTGTTCGAGTAATTTATTATCTTATAGTACATAAATATATTGCGATACATAATAATATAATGCAATACAGATAATTATTACCATATTCATCCATCTATAACCTAACATGCTTTTGTAATACGAACGCCAACGACAGCAACGGAGTATCGTACATTTTAGCTCGTGACGTCATTTCTCAATATCTACAATCTGCGGCGTATGGTAGGCAAAATCTGTGTATTATTTTTTTTATGAGACGCATCAACAAGAAACGATCTTTTACATAATATATCTAACATATGGTGTTCACTGCCAAGTTTAAGCAAGGGCGCAGGTAATATTTGACTGGACTAAGGGTATAAATGCTTAACCGCTAGACTTTAATTATACACATAATAACTCTACTTCTGTACTTAATTATCCTCTATATCAGATCTCAATGTACAGTATGGTAATGATTATACGTTTGTGTAATAATTTAACAAATGTAGCGAATTCATTACACCACCCCCCCCCCCCTTCATATTTTGCAAATACCCTGCACCACTACTAAAAAGTGATCATGTATCAACGAAGTATCTTATAATGTTTTGTATAGACTAATATTTAATTATCTGCAAGCCGACATATCTTGTTTGAAGGTTTGCCCGGCTAAGCAACAATATAATAAATGCTTGCGGTACACCATCTAGATAGTTTTGAAAAGAACTGATGTGATGTTGTGAGAATGTCTCGACTTTTCGAATGAGTTGCTTCAATCGTCGACAATTTTGCAAAGAGTCGAAAACTTATGTGACTGAAAAGTAAGATTGATGCTGATTGGTGGAAAATATAAAGCTGGGACTGGGTGTGAAAAGCGAGTACAAAAGCCAGTATTCAGTGTTTGTGTAAATGTCTGGCGTGGCTAGAAAGCCCATGACAGTGGCATTGTGTCTAGCTTGTTGAAGGAAAGCCAATACAATGGCATGGTTTGCAGGGTTGTGTGAAATGTGCTGTTTTGGTTTAGGTCCGATTAAACATGGACAAAACCAAATATGCGTCCTGGTAGATTACCCTTGGAGTCCGGGATAATTTGTTGGTTGTACTATGAAAATAATGGTATCGGCTTCTAGAATTCCTTGAATCCGTTGTGAAAGTTATCTTACATCGAGAATAATAAGGATTAACCTGTAGCTGAAGAGGTAAGGATGCAATAAACAAGGCAATGTATTATATAGTATGTAAAATTACAATTGTCCTAGTCAGTACATGTGTTGTTGTATACAGTACAAGACTAAGTGAATAATGAATACGAATGACCAATAGAAAGTCTTGTATGATATCTCTAATGGATTTTCCTTGATATAAATAAACCGTAATGTAGCCCAGAATATTATATTGCTTTGTTTAAGATTAATAACTATGTACTTTAGTTGAGTATTTATTAGGTATTGCATTTAGTAACAAATTCACAAATGAATGGCAATACTGTTTAAATCAGAATTCATTGCTGTAAATAACGTTCAATCATTTTTGTTTTATTAATATTAGACTTTTCTATCGTAAATCCTAACAATCAAAGTAACAAAGAAGTTAGCACAAAAATGCATTCAACAGGCTTGCTAAATTATGTGAATTGTGATAATACCGCCCCACCTTTGTGCGAAAAAAGTAAGTGTTCCTCAAACAGACATTTTGATTAAACATTTCTGAATGCTGTTGCAGCAGCATTTGTATTATTCTTTTTATCTTTATTTTCATTTATTTTTGTTTTATTTTCTTAAATCTTATTTTTTTATTTATTATTATTATTATTATTATTATTATTATTATTATTATTATTATTATTATTATTATTGTGATCTGTATATGCTTTTTTGTAAATTAATTTAATGAAAAATAAAATTTCCATATTTTAGTTGCAATCGCAACTAGTATCATCAAGAGCAATTTAAACATAAATAATACAAAGTATACATAATTATAATTATACAAGGCCCCAGAAAAGGAATAATGCCATTTATTATTGATGTACTGCATTTGGATATGTGAATATACAATATTTATATTTGGATACAAACAACATATACTGCGTGATTTTTTTTTCTTGAGTATAATATACGGAAGACACTATTGTGTTTGTTTGTTTCCACGTATATTCTCATAATAGAGCATGTTATCATTAACGAACATGAGTCTTGCATGTTTTCATTCTGTTGTATTTATATTAAAGAGGTTTTAAAGATCAGCCCTCAAGAATATAATTGTCGTTCTGCATGCTTACCCTGTGATAAGCTTTGTGACGGTTTGAAAAACTGTCTCGAGGGTGATGACGAATATTTTTGCGGTAGGTACTGTCTATTTTACTGAAAATTTACATAACCTACATTTTCATAATACGAACATAGTATACTACGCGAATAGAAACATTCACGGACAGTCTCCGTATACAAACAAATCCACATCTACATGCATACTGTACAGACAAATAGATCCGGTTAAGACCTTCCTCCCTTCTAATTTCCAAGCTGTTGTCAATATATTTACAATTTTTGCGACAACAGTCGCAATTCGTAATGTTTTCTAATAACTTGATGCCAAGTCGCGATAAAAACACCTCATAAGTATTAAGGACCTAAGATTATTTTTTTCTCAGACTATACTTGTACAGCTGAATGCACATGTAAAGATTTTGGAATTAAGTGCAAAAAAATCGAATGGAATTCAACGAAAATAATCAAACTTTCAATGACTAACACGTAAGTACGATTTCATTATCTCAGTATGTAACAAATTATAATTGTAACAATACTATCACTATAATGGTAACAATGCAATAAAGAAAAAAAAAAACCTAATTATATACATGTTGGAGTGTCCAAACGTCAAACTCAGTCCTTCACAGGGGTGGCGCCAGGGGGGGGGGGCTATAGCATAGCCCCCCCCCCCGTCGGGGAAGACGCTAAATTTTGTCGGGGAACAAATAAATAAAAAAAAAATATTTAGATGTAATATTTGTTTAGCCACCATATCGTTTGTGTTAACTTTTCATCACAACAACAACCACAATAACAATAATAATAATAATAATAATAATAATATTAATAATAATAATAATTCATTGAGACTAATTAAACATAATTTGCGTTCTGTTATGACAAATGCTCATTTAGATAGCCTCATGATGGTTGGAATACATCGTGATAGGTAAAGCAACCTCGACCATGACAACGTGGTCGACAGATTTCATGCAAAATTTCCAAAATATAGAATTTCACTTTCAAAAATGAGGATTTGAAAATAAATTAGATGGTTACATTGCATACTCTTTGTTTCTTGCTTTATTTAAAATGTTTTGGTTTTGGAAGCCGATGTCAACATTAGAAAGCATAGCCTACATAAGGTCATATTATAGTAACTCGATGCCTATCAAATAAGTAATAAAAATTCGCCATAATTCATCAAATATCCGTGGCTTCCAGGGGGCTTCGCCCCCCTGGACCCCCACCGGGGGCCTACGGCGGCCCCTCCCCCAGCCAAGTGGGACTCAATTCGCTCCACTAGCCCCCCCTCCCGTCGGGGCCTTTAGCATCTCCGTCGGGCAGGTCCTGGCGCCACCCCTGGTCCTTCATACGTTTTTCTCGAGCGAACACAGGAGCAGAAGACAATTTCTTGATCCACACAGGATAGTTCAATTTGCTGGTCTACACTGATCAATAATCAGCCGGTCCACACAGGACAAATAATATGCTGGTCCACACAGGACAGTTATTAGCTAGTCCACACAGAATAATAAAATAATCCGTACAGTACAATAATCTGCTGGTCCACACAGGACAGTGTTCAGCTGCTCCACGCAGTATAATCAGATAGTCCACACAGGACAATAATCTGCTGATTAATACAGGACAATAATCAGTCCACACAGGATAGCTGCCTATCTCAGCAGCAAACACAAAAAATATCTCACTCTCTTTGTGTATACTTCGAAGGTAATCAGACTGTCCACACAGGATAGCTGTCTATCTTAGCATTGCATACCAAGCCTCGCCTCTTAGGGAAGGCTTCACAAGTAGGACATAAAAACATCACTTAGTGTTGGCTTTAACTGTGTGTATCTCACCCTCACTCTGTCTTGTTACTTACTGCTTGGTTCTTTGTTTCTGACTCACACTCTCAATCTCTCATTTGCATAACCATGTGAAATACATTAATTTGCATAGAGCTTAACAATTGTACACCAAGTAACCTCCTAACAATAAAATTCACTCACATTGTGACAATATCCCATATCCCCCTCCCCCGCTTAAAATTATACTTACACATAGTACAAGTATAATCAATTATTTTTTTATGTTTTTTATAATAATACAAACAAATTGACAGTTATTTTTTATTTACTTATTTTTTATTTAGTCAGGTATAAACATATAAAAAACAATTACAAAATGGTAGCCGAAGCTGAAATGGTTTGCATCACAAAACCTATTCACAAAAAATTGTTTACGACTGCAAAACAGCAAAATACAAAAGCAAATTACAAATATTTACTCATTCTCTTTAAAATCTATTTTGCAATAATTTTAGACATTCTCAGTTAATCCAGTATTTCTAGTAAATTGTGAAAAACCCATTTAAGTATTAATAACGATTAAATCATCGCTCAATCCAAAATACAAAAAAAAAGAACACTAACTATTTTAAGTCTTTAATTTTTAAAACTACTGTATTTGAAAAGCCATCCGATTTTACCTAATAGATCTGTTCAGTATCAGTTTCGGTGTCATCACTATTCATGATGCCGTCACCAAACCTAATTAGGGGATTCTGATCAGATAATTGATGTGGAAGTGTATCAACATTTTATTTGTCACCGAAACTGATCACTTAGGCAGAATCGGCTGGAAAAGCCATGTTCACTTTCATAAACAATAACCTTGTCCATATAACAGAATTAAAAGAATATTATTTTCATTTAATCAGCCTCAAGGGGTAAATTGATGCATCAATTATGTTTCAAAGATGAATATTATTCGATTAGACATGATGAATTGATATTGTAAATTAGTAAATTGGCGGATTTTAATAGGTGGATTTTATTTGATTCCAATATAAAAGTTTGGGTTTTAACCTTTTTGACGTGCTATGCTACTATTTTTTGTGAATCGTGAGTTAATACCCGTGTTGAATTTTTAACTGTTTTTTCCTTAAATGCGAAGAACTTGCTATTAATGGTATTTGTGTCTACTGGGCTAAGAATTAACTATAAGGCCTCACCCACTCTTGACCGTCTTGACACGATCGGTCCCTAAATAAATTTCCATAGTAAAAATTCTTAAAAAGTGGCCAACAAGCCAAGCGGCAGGGTGCCGTAGCGCCACTGACCCCGAAAGGGTCAGCACCCAAAGCAGGCAGCAAGGCCATGGCCAAATGAATATAGTATGAGATGGGATTACGACCGAATCACACCTACATTTACTGTAACCATATAAATCTAGCTACTCAGCATGCGTAATTTTCAAGTTTACTTGAAACGTTCTAACTAATTTTTCGGTTTCTAAGGTCTGAAATCTCAGACCGACATATGCGACATGCGGATGTAATTGCGGAAGGCTTGTGAGTTCCATCTTCCCATAGTGCGAATTTCCGCTTCGGGGCGCCCCATTTCTGCTGCCCAGGTTGCAGCCCCAATTCGAAAACTATGGCCAGAGTAACGTGAGTGATCGAGGCCCAAAATCTATTGCTGCCTTCAGTTTGGAGTTAACGAATGAGGGAGAAACTGGATTCCCGTCCTCTAATTGGAAGAGGGGCCCCGATACATGCTTAAAATAGGCGATTTTGGGGAGAGGCAGGCAGCAACGACAAACCTCGCTGAAGGCGTTAAATATGTAAGAGTTCTTCTGGAACTAGCACTTGTTGCACGTTGAGGTTTGGTGCCAGACGTCTTGCTGCCTGAAATTGTGAGCGAGACAGGAGGTCAGCAATGACTATTTTTCCCCGGGATATGATCTGCACGAAATAGAATGTTATGTTTAAGAGACGATAGTACTAATCGTCTAAGTAGGCGCATTATTATGGGATCTTTGGAGGATTTCTTTTTGATAACTGCAACAATAGCCATGTTGTCACAGCGAAAAAGAACTTTTCTATTTTCAAGAAGTTTACCCCAAATTTCGAGTGCCAAACGAAAATATTTTTCATTGGGGGGATGATTGGCGTGTTAGCCAGTGTCGTAACAGGCGCGGGGGG